CTGTGCAGTGTGCACCACCTTAGGCAGTGGGACTGTGGGGATCTCAGGTACAAAGTACGAGAGATTGAAAACGATCCGTCACATTGAGGTTGATCATTAGTTCCAGGTAGACAGTAGAAATAGAAGCAGGCACCATTTCCATCTCCACTTCTGCACTTGAGGGAGAACCTGGTCCTTGGGCATCCACGATGCCCCTTTTTTTTTTTTGTTGCTGATGATCATCTCGCGTTTGAATCTATATCATGAATCAGGTGCTAGGGGCGTTCTGAGACTGCACTGTAGTATGAAGGGTGATCGGGCGTAGCCAACTACTAGTAGGTAAACTAGGTACTCATGTTGAATAGGTGGCTGACTGTTTGGAACCTCAGAATAAACTACACGTGGGTGACACTCGGGGTAGTATTGCCTATATCGAGAATCGTATTAACACATAGTTTCTCGTTGAATTTCCCACGGGCCACTCAATTGTCTGCCCCGTATATGCTCATTCTGTACTGAGGACTCTATTCTCTAGTATCTACTAGTCTAGTACAAGTAAGTGCACCTCAAGTACTCAGATGCTCAGATCCTCCCATCCCAACGTAATCAGGCTACAACCATCCGAGTCCCGCCCGTGGCCCTGCAAGTGACGCACTGCCCTCCACTCGGTCGGTCTAGTCCATCGACGATCGCCGTCTCTTTAGAGACCTCCCCATCTTCTTCTCCATTCACCTCCTCTCCCTGGTCATCCGCCACGCGAGAAGAGGGGGCATCCCTGTTCCGGGCGCACATCGCCAATCTCGGAGTGGAGAGGACTGCATCACTGCGTCACGGGATCGCGGGATCGCACCAAGTGCGTCGCGCTATTGTCCTAGTGGGCGATAGTATAAGCAAACCGTCCAAGTATCAGGGAAGGGAGATCATCCGTTCGATACAGTGCTGTGGATTCGAAGGATGAGCCGCACGTTTGCCCGTGTAGAGAACAGTTGCACAGTGGGACAGTACCACTAGTTACCCACTACTCAATGAGTCAGTAGTCAGACTCACTACTCAGTAGTAGTACTAGTCAGTACTGGAGTAAGTCCAGTGACGAGGGTGACTCGAGGAGGGCTTGTTCTGCTCCTTTGCGTGGTCTCTCAGCGGATCCGAGCCATATACTCCAGAGTCAAGTCTATACTCCGTTCCAATGGTCCGAACTTGAAGGCCCGGCCCGCCCTCGAGGGTCGAGTGATTGCTTTTTTGGGGGGAAAAGGTTTCTTCGGGTGGGACGGGGGTCGGTCGTGCACTGTTATTGTGATTGACGAGTATTATAGTGAGATTGTGGATATACTGGATATAGTAGATAGTAGATACCACGTAGCAGACATCTGCCCAGACAAGGACATCTGCCCAGACAAGGACATGATGATATGAATCTCATGTCAAAGATCCGGTTATCGTCATACAAAAGCAAGCTACCTCCAGTTCCGACCTTGGACTGGTGCTTGTGATAATGAGGGATTGAGGATCCCTTGGCTAAATCAGGGGGGGGTACCTCGTCGATTTAGTAGTTAGTTTGTAATATAGGGCCAACGCAAGATCGATATGCAAGTTGCAACAGCCCTGACATTCATCTTCTGGAATACGTAATATATTCTCCCATTTTGATTACCATTCCCTCCCCCGCATCATAATCTGTCGGACCGAGTGATCGTGATTCACCCTCCCGAGTACAGGAATAACCTCTCAGGAAATCCAAAGAACAAGAGGCAGCCTCTACGTAAAACCAGCCCAAAGGCCAATAGCCGAAAGGGGCAAGTGACTTACTTGGGTGGCTGGCCCCAGTCGAGGAGAGTCACGCCCCCCAGTCCTTCTTTCGGTCTAGTCCCGGTTGAGGTCAAGCAGTGGCCACTGGGCCAGACCAGTGGGCTCTCTGGGCCCTGGACTCGGGCTTTTCAGAAACATGCATTTCTCTGATTGCCGCCCTACGAGACAGGGATTTAGTCTTGGGTACCGAGGAGAAAGAGGGTAAAGTTGGAGTCCTGAGATCATGGTCATTGACTTATTACTACTGAATCACTGATTCTTGTGCTCGATAGTACCTGTTACCTGCACCTAGCAGTAGTACAAACAGTACCACTATCCAGTATCCACAGACTGGGTATTACCACCCACGAGTCACGAGTAAACTAACTACTGGCAGTGCCGTCCCGCCTCCCGACCCACCAAATGCCAGCCCGAGTCTAATTAATCCTCGCTAGTCGCGGCTGCGATTAAATCCCAAAAAGCCTCAGCTGGAGCTTTTTGGACTCCCGCCGCATACGACCAAGGGGTCATTAGTCCCGCTCGTCTTGACCGTCTGAGCTCACCGATGAACTCGCTTGGTGATGGCCATGATAGGCAGGGTCACAGGGTGTATTCGGTACTCATGACCGATTGATGGAGGGATAGTATAGTATGGAATGGAAGATGAGGTCCTGCCAGGATTCGAAAATGGATGAATAATAAAATAAGGAGAAAGGAGAAAAGCTTGGCTCGTGGCTTGACCGGCTGGATGCTCTCTAGACTTACAGTACTTTAGCATTTCGCGTAGACAACTCGGAATAGACGGTGGAGTGTGGAGCGTGGACTGTGGACTGTGGACTGTGGACTGTGGACTGTGGACTGTGGACTATGGACAGTTGGAAATGACAGAGTGCCCCAGGGGAAAGGGAGATGCTCGGACTGAGATGCATGTCTCTCTCTCTGGATGGATCGATGGACAGCAGGATTCTAGGATACAAGGAATCATCCTTCTGTACTCCAGATCACTATGTACCGTCACACTGGACAGGTGTACCGTGTACAACGGCACATGACACACCCAGATGGGTGGATGCCCTGGCGTCCGCCCGGTCCAGTTCAGGGTCAGGTCTCTACCCAAACCCACCGCAGATCATCTTCCCCACGCTTTCCGCTGTTTGCTTTTCGCTTTTCGCTTTTCCGTCGCTCGAATTGCACACGTATGAATCACTACTAGTACTCGGTACGATTCAGTCTTCCATTCAGTACTCACTACTCACTGCCTCGAGACATGAGATGAAGCCAAGTAGACACTATGGATGCTCCACGTACTACATGCTACATAACTTGGTAGTGACATACGTACATACATGGTTTGGACCAAAACACCCCCGAGTCGTTCCAGTAGGACCAGAGTCATCGTGCTACTTCATACTAAGCAAGTACTCATGAATCAAGACCACTGTTATTGTATCAGGCAAGTGCTCGGACGCTTTCAAGCTCGGAGACAGCACTAAGTTACTAACTACTAAATACACGAGTACAGTACAGATATTACACGCTTTGCTCCTACGGCTAGCTTCCCCCATTCACTCATTAAGACATTCATGAACCTCGACCAGGATTGAAGACCCTCGTCTCGACTAAATTTCCCTTTTTCCGTCATCCTGCATTATTCCCCCATTTTTCCATTTTTTCGTTTTTCATTAATCTACCTTCGGGTGTGAGATCGCCCTTGCACGTTACACAAGCCTCGAACCGCCCCGAGTCTTACTACTCACCACTATAGGAGATCTTGGGCGCAAATGTCATACTTCCTGAGTTCCTGGCCCTTTGAATCTGACTATTCTGTATAATCATTCTGCGACTCGGCACATGTCCACTTCCTGCTTCATACTCAATCCACGAGGAGCCCTTTTAGGAAGTTCACTTTGTTCAGCTGAGCGGGGCTATGATTGTGCCCATTGCCCACTGCCTGGGCCAAAGAAGACAATGTTGGACATTGAGACCCAGGAACAGCAACATTCGTGTTTTGAAAAAGAGCATTCAATTCATCTTGGCCTGAGCAGGCTCAGTCTTGTTCTATTTCACGACTTTCCATCCATATTCCAATTCTTTTGAAATTCTTTTTTCCCGATTTTTGTTTTGCGGCGGTCGACGCGGCTGATTCTCCAGACTTTGGACGGGCCTCTCTTTTGGGGGCTTTCCACTCGGCCAAACAGACTGACGTTCTCCACGTCCACGACTTGCTCGTTGATCTTGATCCATAATTATACGATCTCGGGAATTTCCATTTGGAAAGAGAAATAATGACTTTTTTTTTTTTGGCATCTCCCACCTCATTCTTTCCTCCCTCCCTCCCTCTCCCTCTCTCTCTTCACCTTTATCTTCCCTAGTCTAGGTCCTACGCTTATTTGGCATTACGCCATTTCTTTTCCTCATCCATTTCCGCGGACTCAGTATCTACCCAAATAGGTCATTGACCTGAATTGCCCTTTTCGGACACTGAACGCCTCATCCTAAGATTCGACTCGTTCCGTCGCTCTGGTTGCCCCGTCACTTTCTTCAGTCGGCTTTTGTCCAAGATCCGGCCCTTGTAGACGAGGACGGGAGTCTGTTGGCCCCGGCATCGTGTTGATCCTTCTGTATATAGATCGACCAGACACCCGGGTGTGGTTATCCAGTCCGATAGATCACCAGACTTTCGGTCACGAGATCAGCACTCGATATCTTCGAAGAGTGGAACATCCCATCATTGGAATCTACTTACTCAACCGTTTCCCATGATCTAGACAGCGTCAAGTGAAGCTGGCTCGTCACCTTTCTTTTGATTTTCGCTCTCTCTTCCTTCTCTTTGCTTTGCCTCCATCAAGTCATACTCCAATCTGAGTTTGGAATTACCAACTTGACACGATACGCCACATTACCACGAGGCAGCCTGCAAGGCAAAAGCAAACCAAAAAAAAAAAAAATAAAAAACAAATAAAAGGAGGGAAAGAAGGCAGACAAGAGGTCCTCGTTGCCATCAAGCTTTCCGTTGTTCATGCCCTTCTCCGAGAACGTGGGTTTGACATTTTTCAGACGAGGAGCTCCACGCTCGACCTTGACCGTTGATCATTGAGTTTGTCCGGGGACTCGATCGACTGGATTCTTCGCTTCTCATCTCGGAGTCCATCTGTGATCCGTTGCTCATCAGACTTATACATCTCTGCACATAATCATTGCACGTTGAATCTCGTTGATATCTCGCCTTCGTCATCATGGAGACTATCGAGCCAGTCCCATACGACTTTACATCTCATGGAATGGGTCCGTATTCGCATCGTCGGGTCATGGACACACCTCTATACTCGTACTACTCCAATTCCAACCCGACGTCTTTCACCATCCCCTACCAGCAGCATATTTCGACATCGCCCACGTATACATCCAGCTATGGTGCTCCAACTCTGAGTCCACCATCTCACCCGTACCAATACTCGATGACAAGCCAGCCACTCACCTCGCCACTCCGACTGACCTCGGACAATTCTCACATGACACACGGTATGCAAAGCTTCACCGAGTCATCGCTACCATTACCACCACCGCCGGCCCAGCGACACTCGCAGCAGGTTCAGCCCCATCACTACTCGAAACAGACCCAGTCTCGTCAACTACCAGCAACTCTCCAGATTCTCCCGGAAATTCGACCTGCCAAGAACGCCATCAACCCGATCAGAGCCGCAAGCTATAGTCCATTATCGACCAACGCGACCCATTTACATTCCCAGTCGTACGCTGCTCCCAATTCGACACCATCAAGGAGCAGCCGTTCTTCTCCAGCACTCCCAAGCGGCGCAAGTACAAGTGCAAGTGCAAGTACAGGCCCCAGCGCATCCTCGGTCTCTAAATCTGAATCTGGATCTGGACCAGAAGCCGAATTCTCTACCGGAATCGACGTTCTCATGAAAGCCATCCAGTCCAAACCAACCGACCCGTCCTCTTCAATCCCACCGCAGCAAGCAGTGCTCCCACCACTTCACCAGCTCACCCCCTCAGCTTCCACCCTAGCCCCAGGACCGCCATCAGCATTAGCACCAAGTCATGCACCTCACCCCAGCTATCCACTCACCATCTCCCCGCCGCAGGCCCTCCTCATGGAAGAAGGACAGCTGTCGAGATCCGGAAAGAAGAGAAAATACACGTGCACACTCCCGAATTGCGGAAAGAGCTTTGCACAAAAGACGCACTTGGATATTCATCATCGGGCGCACTCGGGGGAGAAACCTTTTGTAAGTTCACATGCACCAACATGCCAGTACTCCGATGCACAACGAGGAAAAAGCGAGGGGAGCAGCAAAGAAACCGTCTGAAAAGAACTGCTCGGATTCGGCTGCTGATGATTTATCTCACTTTCTACAGATTTGCAAGGAGCCCTCGTGTGGCCAGCGGTTCTCGCAGCTCGGCAATCTCAAGGTAAGTCCCTAGACATAAGTCAATGATCGTCGAGACTCAAGAGCAACATTCGACGAAACAAAAACGCCCTCCAAGTAGTCTACCCAGAACACTAACTTGCATGTCTCTACTACTCTCCAGACCCATCAAAGACGACACACAGGCGAAAAGCCCTTCAAATGCGATATTTGCCACAAAAGATTCGCCCAGCGAGGCAATGTCCGCGCACATCAGATCACCCACCTGCAGGCCAAGCCCTTCATATGTCTCCTAGACTCTTGCGGCAAGAAATTTACTCAATTGGGAAATCTAAAGGTGAGATACGAGCCTCGCAGTCGCAGTCGCATACACAGAACCGTAAAAACAACAGCACGAAACCACATACCACCTAAACATCAAAGCTAACCGCTCCACCTACCCAGTCCCATCAGAATAAATTCCACGCATCCACACTCCGCAATCTCACGCTGCGATTCGCATCCATGGGCGACGCCGGACCAATGAATCCCGCAGACCGTGAATTATGGGAATATTTCGCCGAACTGTACAAGAACAGCAACAAGGGAATCAAAGGACGAGGCAAAGATCGTCGCATCTCGACCATTCCATCCGCTACCGATAATGCAAACACAAACACAAACGCAAACGCACATCTCGGCTCTTCTTCACCAGCTTCGTCGTCTTCCTACTCGTCCGAGTCTTCCCCCTTTAACGCCACGACTCGCACACAGTACTCCCATACCCACGATAATGCCCGTCGCGCAGGAGTGCGAATGTCCTCGATGGAATCCGACGAGGACAGTCGATTGGTTTACACCGGATATCTAAACCGAGACATATCCATGCCGATGCCAATGCCAATGCCCATGCCCATGCCCATGTCCATGTCCATGCCCCTGTCCGTGTCCGGATCATGCAGCAGTGAAGCCGAAGCAGACAGGGAGGATCATCATGGTCTGGGCGGAGGCCGACAGAGATACGAAGATGTTGACGACGAGGACGAGGAAAGGGAAGCGCGCATGGAAGTTGAAGGCTTGGGGGCGTATTATTTGGAGAGGAGGTTTGTTTGAATTGAATGCATAATATTGCATACTTCTTTTGAACACCGGTGAGAGATGGAGCTCGGGGTTGGGTTATCTTGGTGAGATTCGATCATGACGCTGTAGTTGATTTCTTCGATGTATTTGTCTCCCTGTTATTTTTTTTACCCCCCTTATTCTGGGCTATACCTTCAGTTTTGTATGATACATGTATGTGATATCGAATCTCATTCACAATGTTTTGCAAATATTCCTGTACGATATATACTCGGCATTCCTCCTAATCATACACAGGAAGAGAGGTGGAATCCGCGAGAGAAAAATGACCCCAACGAATATGTTGAACAGTGACCTACTAGGAACCTTGAAGCCCTTCAGAGACTCCAATCTTCTTCTCACGGGAAAACTTCTTCGGCTTGGCCTTGGATTTCTATCAGTACACAACTTGACAAATGCTCGTTACGACAGATAGTCTGACATTTGCAATAGTCTGACTAAAAAATCATGTCAGGCAGAATTAGGTTATTTCCTTTTGCAGGACATTGATCTCCTTCCATCTATGCGTACAGGCCCCCTGTTCAAATTCATGAACCTCCCTATTCCAAATGTGAGGATTTTCAGCTCTTGCAGAAGATGAGGGACGGAACAACGAGAAGAAGAAAAAAAAATTTAAAAGTGGAACAATTAGTGACTTCTCACACAGCGCTCTTCGAGGTACTATGCGTCGACATTGACATCGGCATTCACATCGGCGTCGGGAATCGCAAGATCTCCGTCAGCCGCCGTATCCGCGGTTTCCTCGCCGGCCGGGGCCTGAGTACCCACGGGGGTGGCATCCAGCAATGCCGCCGCGATAAACGCCTCTTCCACCAGAGCCTTTCGACGGAAAACACGTAGCCAGCGACGGCCCCACTGACGAAGGATGGCGTGTTCGGGTGATTCGCCGGATCCATCACCACGCTCCATCAACTCGTCGTTACTGCCGGAGGCAACAGAGACGAGCGAATCCTCGATGAATTTAAAAAGATTTTGCATCTCCGTTCGTTCGCGGTTCAGAGTCTCCTCGAGCACGCTAAGTTGAGGCTCGTAGAGAGATTTTTGGGACCGAGCAGCCACGATCTGACGCATTCGATTCGTCACTTTACCCACCGTGGCAAAGACCATCTCGTAAATGTGGGATTTGGCGAGGATAGCGCCAGCATCAATGTGTTCCGTGAGTGCCCATTCCAGGACAGAAAGCGGGCTGATAATGGTGTAGTTGAGTAGTTTGTCCACAATGTTGATGGCAATGCCGGGTTGATTGGCCCAGTACTCCATTACGGACGTGATGATCTGCAAGCGACCCTTCTCGGAGGCTGAACCAATGGCCAAGAGCCGATCCTTGTTCCGTTCGATGCATGACAAGACGTGGGATAGAGATTTGGAGCCCACGAAACAGATCGATGTTACGAGAGCGTCTGTGGACGGGATCTTAGGTTCCTGCACTCCTTGAGCTTGAGCCTGCTCCTCAATTGCGGCCAGTACAGGCTGAAGTTCATCGTCGGTGGCTTTCTTTCGGATGAGCTGCATAAGCTCTTGGCCTTGCTTTGCGTAGGGAGTTGCTATTCAAAACATGATTGTTAGTAAGACCTTCAAAGGTTGCAGTGGAGTGGCGGCTTCTTTCACTCGCGAGAATCCTGGACATTTTAGCGTACCTTCGGAAGAATATTTGAAGTCTGGTGTATCCTTTTCCTTGTCTTCCGTGATCAAAGGCAGGTATGGCTCAGGCAGAGTTCCCTTGATTCGCTGAGCAAAGCTAAGACGAATCTCCTTGTCCAAGGCACCGTTGATGAAAGCCAAGCGAGGATGCAAGGCAGAAAGTTCCAAATCATCCACCCTGTTATTAAGTCATTGTCAGTGCCCAAGTTCCACCACTTTCCGTTGTCCATCAAGGCCCACTCATTGGAGACTTACCATTCGCTCCATTTCCACGTGAACCCAAAGTTGCTTAGATGGTGCGCGAACCAATCCAGGAATCGGCTGGAAAGTTCAAGATCCATCGTCTCAAGACTGTTGTAGAGGAATCGAATGGCACGACCCAGACTAGGTGCGATAGCAGCAGGGGCGATCTTGCAGCATTCGGTCAGAACGGAGTGATAATACACAAGCTTATGCTCAGGAGTTGGAAGCTGGAAGAGCTGCGAGAAAACCGCATCAACTGCTACATCCTCAGGTTTCCAAGCCTTGTTCTCTCCCGCCATGTCCCGCATTCGATCAAACGGAGTTGCACGCTTGACAAAAGTATCGCGAGTGTAATAACAATCCACGTCAATCAAGTACTTGGCTGTAGCCACGCGATTGAAGTCAAGATTGTTGAGTGTATCGACCATGGCGTCTCTGAGGAGTGAAGAGGTGATGTCTGAAATGGGAGGGACGGTGTCAACCTCCTGGTTCGCGTACACGGAGAGATAGACCTCCGGGAAGAGGGCGCGTGGACCAAAGGGCACTGGACTCGGGACCGTGATCTCTGGGAAGGCAATTTTGGTGACGACCTCGAATGGCTGTTGACCTTCACTGTCTGATTCCCGGGCATCCCTCCAGGGACGAGACAAGCACTTCAGTTCCCACTGGTTACTTGCCTCCCCCTGGAGCTGGTTCTGGAGAACGCTGATGAAGCTTGCGCCAGAGGTAGGTTCATCCTCCTTCTCCCCGAAAGTCTTCACCAGATCAACCAGGTTGTGTGGAGTTGATGCGATGATTTCCGTTTTCTCGAGCAAGCTGGACGCCAAGGTTTCGAAGCCAGTGGCAGGAGACGACATGATGTAAGGGATGGTGAGCAGGATGATTTTCACAAGCTCCAGACCGAGCAGCTACAGTTGCAGGAGAAAAAGAAAGTGTTAGCTTTGGAAAAGTTTCGACTTTCCACGAACCGCGCATACATACATCTTCTGACGATGTGGTCTGAAGGTCAACCGCACGGGCAAAGAACTCCTCCAGCAAAGGGAAGATCCCATTGCCCTCGAACAAGGGCTGCAAGCAACCCAAAAAGCGGACCAGAAGTTTGACTTCGCGCCATGATCCAGACTCAATGTTTTTTTGCAAGATCGTAGCCGTCTTGTTGATGAGCTCTGTCCCAAGCTCTGGCTTGTTTTTGTACGCAAAAAGAGCTACCGCGGCAACGAAGGGGATTTTCATCGGTTGTTCAAGGACCCTAAAGCGCTGTCAGTTGACGGAAAGTAGAGTCAAAAGACGCATGTTCAAATAACGTACAGGTCTAGAGAAATATTGATCATAGTGTTGCGAAGCTCCTCGTCTTCATAATTCTCAGCAACGGTCTTTGCAATGCTCACAACATCGTCCTCGACTCGGCGAGCAGCCTACATAGCAATCTTCAATTTCAGCAATTGTTGCGAAAACAGTTCGATCTTTGCGACAGGGGGCATCCTTACCGATTCCGCAATTGTCAGAAGCTGCCGACGAATCTGCACGAAGAGTGGCTCCTCATATCTTCGGCGCTGTGGACGACGATCATAATCCTCATCATCTAATCATCAATCTTGTCAGCGGCGCGTAAAGCAGAAGATCTGCGAATGGCTCCCTCACCTCGGTAGCGGCGCTTGCGACCACCACCACCGCCCCCGCGGTGACCATTATTGCGACGGTCGTAGTCAGCCATGATAAATTGCACAGGATGCGACAGTCAAAGCACTCGCAAATCTGAGTTGGCGTGGAGCGTGAGTAAGGTCCAGCGGAGGTGAGAGCTTCCCCGAATGTTACTGACGCGCGGATGAATAATAGTCCGTTCCGGTCCTACGTCTTTAGCTCCCATCCTCAGAGATGTTAAGATTGAAAGTAGAACTTCCTATTTGAATCAGTCATCCCAGAGTAACTCGGGTCTGCTATAGCTTAAAGCACGTCCCACTCAATGGGGATTAATGAAGGGCGGGTTATTTCTATGGCCCGCAGGCATTGCGGAAAACGACAAGGAGGTTCCCATATTGCGTCATAGCCCTAGTGTAGAGCATAGAGACCAGACGCATCCCGTGTGCGTTTAATGGCCTCGGGCTCGCAACGTAATCTCCGTATCCAAGTAGCAGCTACGAGCCCATAAAGAGCCAGCTATGCGTTAGTAATTCGTGGAACAGGCTCACCTCGATGAGATGCTGTGTGCGGAAGGCCGCGAGTCTGAAAATTGCCAAGATATATCCACATATGTACTGGATTATAACATGGACTAGTGTACACCACTTTCTCCTGTCCTGAGTGTTGTACTCGATTCTGGCAACCAAGATCGCCATTGTAACTCTAAATTACAAGCATAGTCATGAATCCCTCTCATTTCCGTGCCGAACATGACCCCCAAAGTTTTCGGCATGGGAATTCCCAGTGATTTTGAGAGAGTTGGAGCGTTTGCAACAACTAGTGAGTGTGAATATCATGACAAAATACTGGAAACTTTATAAATACGCGTCGACGCATCTTCGCTGGCAACTGCGAGCTCGAAGAATGGCCTTTCATCCACATCAGCAGCCGTCACAGGCCTCCACGTCAATTGGGTGATAGTCTTCGAGGGAGCGATTGAGGGTTCCACCGTTGTGATGTGGCTCGCCTCAAAGCTTTCAATGGAGACCTTGTGAACTGAGACGGCTCCACTGTCTTCTCCCGCGGCGAGGATAAAGTACTTCTGATACGGGACTGACAAGAAGGCAATCGCAGATACAGCCGAGGTCAGCGAGATAGTTGACTTGCACTCGAATGTAGCGTCGTTCTTCTGCCAGATCTTCACAGACTTGTCACGTCCAGCAGTAGCGAATGCGCGATTGCTCGCGGTCGGGGCCCAGGCAGCGCCCAGAATCATTCGAGAGTGACCTTTTGGATTCGTGACAAGATTGGTGAAGACTGTCGGTTGCTGTTCGCTCCTCTCAAAGACAGCCCATTGACGGTCTCGGCCAACACTAAGGAGGAACCTGTCGTCGTCTGAGAATGATAAGTCGGTTATGGTGAGCGAATGTGCAGTGAGTGATGGCTTGATCTCATGCCAGTCAGAAGTATCGTACAAGCGGATCACAGCGTGATCGACGGAGCTCGCCTTGCAAGCTGTGGCAATAAGAGTCCTGTCATGACTGACGGCCACGGCAGAGATCTCATAACCGTGTCCGTACAGCTTTTCATGCTCCGGCCACAAAGTGTATCGAGCCAGCTGATCTTCTAGCGGCGGGGAATCGTAATTAAGGGACACATTTGGAGCAGCCGAAGATGCGCCATTGGCCCCGGCCTCATCTTCAACGGGGGCCTCCTCCCCTTGAGCCTTATTTGACAGACCAAGAACCGGGATTTCAGCCAGATCTGGCATAGCGGACTCGTCAATCTTTTGGTGAAAGCCAGTAAGCCTTTCAAGTAACTCAGCGATCTGCTTCGGCTCGTTGAAGACCCGCAGAAGCTTTTCATCGGCCCCTGATACAAATTGTCCAGGTCCAAGTGTGTCAATGCAATTCAAATCGTAACCGTGGATCTGAGGTCGAGAGAACTCATGCCACGAGCATTTTTGGTCACGCATCCATTGAGCATGAAGGCGCGTCGTCTGATCCGCGCTTGTGGAAAGTAAGTACCCTCCACTAGGCTCCCATTGCACACCGTTCGCAGACCGGACATGGCCCGAAACACCAAACTTCTGCACCCAGAGATCGGCTTCGGGATCGTGCTGCCAGACCCTCCAGCTTCCAGTACGGCCAAGGCTGACCACCGTCGTTCCATCTGGTGACCAGAGCCCAATCCAAAATCCACCTGCGCTACCAGTCGCGGTTGTGGAGCCCTTCATGGTGCTTATTTCGCCCATTCTTTCTCCTGACATCCAGACCCCAGATACCGGGTCTTGTTCCCAAATCGTGATCGTATTATCGGCCGAAGCAGTCAGAAGCTGGGAGCGACTAGGATCGGGATTCCATGCCGTGGTATAGATCCAATCTTCATTTCCAAACAGCAAAGCTTCAAAAGTGATCGAGTATTTTGAGCCAGCTGCCTCAAATTCGTGCGCTTTGTTGGAAAGTGTTGGCTCCATACCCCCAAGTAGAGGATCATCCTCGTCAATCTCAGCAGGAAGCCGGACTTCACCCTGACATAAGCGCCACAAACGAATATACTTATCTTGACTGGCCGATGCAAGCAAGAGATCGCTCGTTTCACCTTTTCCTTCTCTTGTAAACGATAATGATCGAATCCAAGCCTCGTGCCCAGACAATACGGCTCGGTGCTGGAAATTTGGCTTGTCAATCGTAGACTCGGCGGAATAGATGTGGACTTTGGTGGTGGTGCCTGCAACGGCTAGGACTAATCCCTTGCCATTGGCTCCGTCGAGGACTCTCAAAGCCAATGTGAGAGGAAAGAAGCGTGGCTTCATCGTGATTGTCTCGAGTAATGTGCCCTTGGGGTCGGCCTGAGCATCGAGTCTCCAAATTCGAACGGTGCCGTCTGCTGCTCCCGTCGCAATAATATCCGTTCCTTCGGCCACAGAAATCGCGTTTACGCTGCCTTCATGTCCTTCAAGAGAGAATCCAAGTTTGTAGCTTCGGTAGTCATTTTCATCTTGTTCCCACACTTTGATTGTCCGATCAACGGACCCAGTCAAGAGAAATCTGGCACCGGTGGAGGGGCAGGTGTAGAATCTGACGACGCTGACTTTGTCGGAGTGGCCAACAAGAAGGGCGTAGACTCCTTTGTTCGAATCATCCTGCGCAATTCGTCAGCTATCTCCAACACGATCACAGGGACATACCGCATTTTGTGCTTGGACCTACCAAAGGCTCCCACAATGCGACATTATTGTCCGCGCCAAAGGCAAGTACACCTGATTGAACATCCCAATCTGCGGCGCCGGGGTGCCGGTTGCCTCCGACACTGATATACTCAGTCGATACCGACGCCATATTTGCGGTTCTCCAGGCCGGCTGAAACTGCTCTCGAAGAAGAATTGAAGTCGGCGAAGATCGGCCAAAAGAGCTGTCGCAGCTATGGGCACAATTGTGAAAAGAGGGCTTATCGATAAGGATCGTTCTCCTCAGCCCCTCCCCGCCGCGATCGTCAATTCAGTTTCCGTCGCGCTGACGAGAAGCACCCAGCGAGGACTAATCAAGTCTCAATCTCCGACCCAGCTCGTTACCATATCATGTCGCAATCTGCTTCAGTGGGCGAATGCCCTCATATTCCTATCACAGTCGAGTTCACGTATGCCGAGCCTCGTTTGAATTGTTTAAGCGTCGCCGATTACTCACCTTACGATCTAGTGGCGGACTCGAACTACTCTTTGGCAACGTACGCAAGCACAAGATCTCCGTACCGTCGCGTATGAGTGATGGAAGTCCCACAAATATTTCATATTTGCTTCCATACCTCGTCGACAACCTCATGCAGGATCAACGGAAGGAGATGTTCATCATGGAGGATAACGTGTTGGTTGATTTCGGATCATCGCTCGTATGCATAGGCTAATACCAGGCTTAGTCGACCAGGCATTCTCGTCTTGATCAACGATGCCGATTGGGAACTCGAGGGTGAAGAGAAATACGAACTGCAACCGGGCGATAATATTGTGTTCGTTTCAACGCTACACGGAGGCTAAAGACATGGTCTGAGAAGTGAATACATTCCTTGAATGAAGCAATTAGCTGCTGCAAGTGATGGTCGATCAACGCGATAGTTGTCGCGTAATCTCAGGCAATAACTGGACGCTTCCAAATGTCGCTCAGACGACATCTTCGACGTGCTGCTGGGAGATTCTCTCGGGCTCACGAGGTGTGCGGAGACCACTCGGAGTTCTCAATCCACTCTGCGGAGTCCCAGATCCGTCCATTGGGCTACCGAGGCCTTGCATGGGAGAGACAACACCGCTTGGGGGTACCGGAATCTTGATATCCTCGGGCGAGGCGGGAATGATCTCCTCTGGCAGGTCGGGAATATGGATCCGGCGAGCTTCGTTTTGGTAACTCTCCGGGATAATCTAGTGTTTCAAATTTTAGATTAGCATACTCTTGACCCAATTGGTTAAATTCTCTTACCTCAATGATCTCGTCTCGTGGGAATTCAAGGAATGGAATGTCGGCTGCGTTACACGCCATCAAGTAGCCGTAGAGAACTCTCAACACGCTCTCATGGGCAATTATGAGCAAATCGTTTTGCTCCCGCTCCAATTCAAGAATGACCGGCTCCAGACGGACGGCGAGGTCATGATAGGACTAAGGAAGCGTAAGTTGGGGGAACCCGGACGCACCCAATGATTCTCTTACCTCTGCTCGAGGGTAGCGGTGATGATAAGGGTCCAGCTCGTGCTTGGCCACCTCGTCTGGCCATTCCGCACGAATGCGCCTCTCCGACATCTGCTCACACACACCGGGATTGAGTTGACTCATCTGAGATCGCTGACGGACTTTGTAGCCTTTGTCATAGAGGTACTTTGCAGTCTCAACGGTACGGCGCCTGGTGGAGGTCCAGACTTTCAACGGCCGGAGTTCATAGCCTACATCCCCTCGTTCGATCATTTCCTGTTTCTCAGACTCCCGGTGAGCAAGAAGCCGTTCTGTCATCTTGCGAGCGTAATCGTCACCCTTTTCGGAGAGACTAGAGTCGGATTTATAGGATAGGTCTTTGGATACACCAGCCTTCACGCCTGATCAGCAGTGTTTCGTATCGCATGGGACGAATTAGACTTACTCGCACGAAATATGTTCGTCGCGACTTGATGTGCAAATTCAGCAGATAGAACACGATGCGATTAGACAGGTAGCCAAAGCTTCGGTTGTTCACAATGAGTCGCTGGCCGGCATTGATCATCTGGGGAAGTCGTCAGCATGCAGATCATTGGCAAAAAGAATTGGAGATGTCAAACCTTGATGTAGTTCAAATCCTTCTCTTCCATAGTCTGAAATTGGGGAATGCGGGAGCTGATTCGAGTCAGGTAGTGCTTGACTGCGTCGTCTGGTGTCCAGGACACATACTGATGATGAGTGAGCGGATGAACTGGACTAATGGTATAGCTATGTTGCACTCACATCTGGCGACGAAATCTTGACGCGGCGAACGTTTTCCTCGATGATACGCTCATCATCACACCAAGATTCGATGAAGAGCGTCTGTCAATTTGGAATTGAGGTTAGGCCCAAGCATTCCACGCCGTGTTGGAGGATCGCAAACCTCAATGTCGTGCTTGGCGAATTCCTTGGCGAGTGAACGCCGTCCCGAAGCCAGGGGATTCACGGCGTCATAGATGGCAATCTGACCATTCTCATGGTTCAAGAAGTGGTAAATGTCCTCTCGACACTTGCGAACGATTTTCTGGCGGAGCAAAACAGACGATGCCGATGCTGCAAATGCGATTAACCCGAGTGGCCGAGCTGTCAATCATCTTGTTTGGCACTCACCATTGACAAAGAAGTAGTCTTCTGGCATATCCTCGCCAAATGGAATCGTGGCTCTTCGGTAGTCTCCGAGATGGAAAATCCGCGTCTTGACCCCCAGCCTGCGGTCATGTAAGCAGCATTCTAAGCAGCATCGCAATTGATCAATGATCTCTTCGTCCATCCTCGATGCACTTACCATCTCAGATACCGAGCCAACGCAACAGAGATGTGTCTATTGAATGATGAGCTTGGACGCCATTCATGTACGTATCACGTTTTTGATGGACTTCAACTTACGTTTTTCCTCTAGCGGGCAGCCCGACTGTGATGATCACGATACGGCCAGAGTGGAAGAGTCGTCCTGACTCGGTACTGTACAGTTGAGCTGGAGCTAGGTCGGCCTTTTCTGGCAAATCGTGGATAGCATCAACGAAGGTGGATGATTTCCGCCTGAATTGCGGAGAGTTGGCCACGATTTCTGCTGTACTAAACTGACGTCAGATTCAGAGTATGGTGAATGAAAGGTAAGACTTTTGATCGGCATGGTTCTCGTGGAATGCTTCCAAGCAGGTTTCGAGCAAAACTTTTAATCAGGCATGATTCCATGTTGCGATCAAAGGTCATCCATCGTGCATGAGGTGTACTCGGTGTAGTGCGTACTCACAGTAAGGTATCCATGATGGCGGGGCCAGCGAATACACAACGACAACCGAGGTCTGGGTTGAGCTTGGGCTGGTCAGGCTGATGAGCTTTGAGGGAGAGTCTGAGGTATCTCGAGCTGATGGGATTCTCTCAGTATTCATTCACTTCAAGGTAGTGCGATCCTTGACCTGAAAGCACAGAGAGAGTGTTAGAGAGAGCGCGCTGGTGGAAAGCGGTAGAACTGATAACGATAAATGGCAGGTGTAGATCTCGGGTGGATCCTCACCTCAACTAGCGCGCTGCCTGGTTCTGTATGGAAATACTTAGCAGGAGCTGTAGGACTAATCAGAATTCAAGCGCACTCGTATGTCTGCACGCTATCCTTATGAAGCTCTCAACTTTCTTATAGTAAACTCGATTATAGTGCATCCAGAATTGGAAGATTGTAATCATGCAGTAATTCATCAAGCTTGTTACAATCTCCAACAGTCATTGTCTTATACAAAATGCCACACGTCCGAGAATGCCCGGGCCCGGTGTGCTTACATAAGGCCATCCCGGCGGACAGCAGCAACCAAAGACGCTACGCAATTGGCAATTTTCAAACTGGAAAGTCTTCAGCTTGGCTTTGATTGAAACCATCAACAACCCAAGTGCACCATCCTCGACCCTCCTCCCCGCGGAGCCTCCTTTCAGCCCCCTTCCATCACTGCCCTTACAATTTGAGACGTTTGTTCGTCCCAGAACATCCGGGCCGGTCTCTCTTCTCTTACCGTCCGCCTGTCTTCCCTTGTTGTCAACGAACCCCCGGTTGACCGAGCATCGCGTGACGACTTATCTGAAAATTCAATCTATACATCTCATACACTTTCCAAGATGGGCGATCTCACATCATCTCTTTCCGTTCTCACGGAAAACCCTGCGATGGCAATCGTGAACGACATGTACACCTCGTTCGCCGAGCGCCGAGCATTGTTGAACCTGCCCAACCCCGGCACTGTGGACAACATTGCGCGTGAGGTGCAGAAGGAGGTTTTGCTCTCCAATTTCATGTTTTCTGGTCTTCGCGCGGATTTGACCAAGGTGTTTGGCATGTCTCCCCTGTTCCGAGTCTCTCATGCCTTCTCAATGGGAGGCTCCGGCAACCTGCCACCGTACGCCTTTTCGTCGATGTACGGCAGCCCCAAGGTAAGCAGCATACACTTTGACATTGTGATATAAACATCGCAGCTCAATCAAGTCACACCTCCTCTTGTCATTGGTCTTCCCCCGGATAACTGACCACCGTTGTCCACGTGCAGGTTTTCATGCAAGGTAACCTCGGCAGCGATGGCACCCTCTCGGCCGTCTACAACTGGCGCTGGAACCAGGCCCTCGTCACGAAGACCAACGCTCAGATTATGCCCGGTGGTGGTCAGGGTCTGATGCAGATTGATAACGACTACACTGGCAAGGACTTTTCTGCGTCTCTGAAGGCATTCAACCCCTCGTTCCTTGAGGGTGGCCTTACTGGCATCTTTGTTGGAAGCTACCTTCAGAGCGTCACCCCCGGCTTGGCCCTCGGTTTTGAGGCCATCTGGCAGCGCCAGGGTCTGAACGCTCGTCCCGAAACTGCTCTCTCTTACTGCGCCAAGTACAAGGGCGATGATTGGATTGGTACTGCCCAGCTGCAGGCTCAGGGCACCTTTGCTGCCACCTACTGGCGCAAGCTGTCCGAGCGCGTTGAAGCTGGTGTTGACATGAACCTCCAGTTCGCTCCCAACGCCGCTGCCATGATGATGGGTGGTCCCAGCCGTGACGGCACCACTGCGATCGGTGCCAAGTACGACTTCCGTGCCTCTTCCTTCCGCGCCCAGGTCGACAGTGCCGGTAAGGTCAGCTGCCTCTTGGAAAAGCGTATCGCCATGCCCATCTCTTTGACTTTTGCTGGTGAAATTGACCAGGCCAAGGTAAGTTGACGGTGGATCTGGTTGGAAAGACCTTGTGATAAGAGCGAGATGGCTAATGATTTTCTTGTAGCAAACGGCCAAGGTTGGACTTGCGGTCTCTCTCGAGATTGCTGGCGAGGAGTTGATGGAGCAGCAGGAGAAGGCTGACCCCAACATGATGCCCCCTCCCTTCTAAGCTCATCATGGAAAGCATGCGCTGCCTTTTCCAAATCCTCTCAGGGCCTTAGTCTCAGTGCGTACTGCTAGGATCCCCGAGAGCTAATCACTCCATTCGACCAACCTGTTTTATTAGTACTCCTTCGCTCCCCCTCGCCAAATTTCTTCCCCTGGTTCGAGTAACGAGGGCACGTCAGTCTTCTTTCTCTCTTCATACTTGCGGTCCCAACTTCCATCCAGGGATCACTGATTATGGCGGCACTTGTCTGGCGCCAATGGAGAAGCATCCGCATGACCTGTATAGATTCACATTGTTTCCATTGTTATCATCGGTGTCCAATTCAAATCTCTGTCTTTTTTTTTTTCGTCTACGTTCGTCGGCCTTGCACTTTGTGCTGCTATTTTCTCCTCATCGTCGTTTTGATCCTTCCCCCGTTTGATATCCGCACTGCCTCGGTGTTCAGTTTGATATATGATCTGTGGTCTCATGTGTCTCTTGACGCGTGAGAATTGAGGGGATTGCTTATCTTTGACCAGGGCAAGTTCTCTACTCGTGTCGAAAAGAACAGGCGTTGCAGACATTGTCTTCTCATCATGACTTGTCACTGGCCCCGTTTTGCACAGTGGAGTGGCGGGGCCAACGGGTGAGCCGGACAAGGAGCACAGGTGATAGATGCGGGCTGAAGAGATGATGTCTGGTTCTGTGGCCGCATCATAGACAGATCAATGTAAAACAGTCTTTGACACTTTAATTGCAGCGAGTCTCTCATCATTATCATCAATCATATCCCCTTGTCACCTTGCCCATCTTTTTCTTTCTATTCTATCTAACAACCTTGCAAGGTCTGTCCTGTCGTATCTCCTCTCCTCCTAGTATGTTATAATATCAAGGTGGCACCTCATCAGGTTCGTCTTGTAGACACTGGATGCAATACTGATGCGGTCCAGGTTACTAGCTATGTAGTATGTAGTATGTAGGGCTCACTAGTATGTAGTATGTACCATGTAGCTCGCTGCCTCGGCAGTCGATGTTGACCTCGTGCTGAGCCTCCAGGGCAATGAAGGACTCGCCCCGCGGACTCCAGGCGGAATGCCGGGTTGGAAAGAGCTTTATACCAATGGAACGGATTGCGCTCACTAGACAAACAACCATACTTCATACGGTACATGGAATCACATACATGGAGCAAAGTGGTCGAATGCAGAATGTCGAGCAACGTGCATGGCGTCTGTTAGTTCGGTGATCTGCCAGACTCGAGCAGGGAGTCCACCTGCACTTACCTTGCCAGAACCAGCAAATACCTCCAGTGGTCACCTCCCGACTTCCCAAGTGATCCAAGTCCCCGCGCAGAGTCCGCAAGCGTTGGCTCTGGTTGCGCATTTCCCTGGGATTGTGGGGGCTCGCTCCACAGGCAAGTTTGTGGGTGTCTGGTTCTGCAAATTAGGAGTGGGGGGAAGGGGAGGAGGGGGAGCTGTTCGTTCGGCGTTGAGTCTCTAGGCCTACTCCCTAGTCCTACCTTTTGCAAGATTTCCATCGTTCACTGGCCTGAGCCTTTGCGATCTATGGAATCACTGGAATCAGGTGCCAGACTTGGACCTTGCAGGGGAGCGAATGATGGATATAAGAGAATAGAGATAGAGGGTCAGGGTGAAGGTGCGGGACCCCGTTAAGCCACGAGCATTGTTCACTTGAATGTGATGGTTCATGTAAGTGTCCGATGCCGTGACAGGTCGATATCCACAGGGCCACAAGTCCGCAGTCCACACGCCTTCTGGGGAAATACTAGTTGTCTTCTTGTCTCGCGATGATCTCGGCTCCGGTCAAAAGATCAACGTGGATTGACATACTGCTATGGCATGGACAGTGGACAGTGACATCTCCAGTCGCCTGGGAGTACTGTACGGAGAGTGATTCGGTGGAATCGGGCGTGATCTTCAGCAGTAAGCACCGGCCAGGGGGTATTCGGCGGGGAGTCTTGCGTGTGATTTGGGTGAGTATGGCGTATGGAGTATGGCCTGGGAGCTCGTCGTCGCTCGATGTGAGGTCCCCAAATCATCTGTGATACAAACCCAAGTGAGAAGATTCAACACAGCAAGAATCTATACTTGGCATACCATATTACCCCCCCCCCCCCCCCCCCCCCAAACATGGAATACATCCCCCACTGCTCATCTTGCTCAATCCATCATGTCTACGAGCCCACACAACGACGGCAGCAGGACGTGCACCCTCCACGCTCCCATCCATTTGGCCCATGTTTCAGGCTCAAAACCCGGGACGAAACAGTTTCGGGCCTGGAGGCGTCGCACAACACAACATGCCGGTGAGCTTATTCCTACCTAGTAGACCTACTTGGTGGTAGACCTACTAGGGGCTCCATTCTGCGAGACAAGATGCCCATGTCAGGGGGTGAATTACTTCTGAACCAGTGACTCGACGTGACTCGACGTGAATGGGGCAAAGTCCAGTCCAGTTCTCCAGTGGGGGGCTCATTCCAGTTGTCACGCCATTTGTCCATAGAAGCCTTTGAAATGAAATGTCATTTCCCCAAGTCATTGTGACCAGCCACGATTGGGGAAGATAATCGGTTGGCCCTTGCATGGCCATCAGCAAGACATGGCTCAGCGTCGGTCGGAGTCTTGGGAGGTCCACTGTTCTGGTAGATCTGAGAGCCGCCACATTCCTCGGGTGATCCAAATCTCGCCAGACTTGCCGTTGTAGGTCTGTCCCACGCCTCGGGAAGTTCGTTTTATCGGCGTTGTGCACTGCACACTGCAGAGGGCATATTGCGCATTCCTTGGGCGGAGATGATAGTCGACGGACTTGACTGGCAAGCGTGTCGATGCCGATGCCGAGAGATATCACTTACAGAGTACGACCCGCCCTTGTCAGAGGCGTCCTTGGGCTCCCTTTTGGAGAATGACACTGAATAAACTTCATCCAAAAGTCCAGGGCAGAATGTTGTCCGAACACCACAAGCAGAGTTTTTCTAATGATCCGATACTCGGATGATGAAATCATCCTCGGTGAGTATGATACATGAAATAAATCACCCAGCAAAGTCAACCTGAACCTATCAACCTAGTACATTACTCCATACTACATAATTAATACATAACTAATATATAACTGATACATAACTAATACATAACTAATACATTACTACACATGTAGTAACTGACATACTACATGATGTCCACCGTCCAGTGTCCATTGCTACCAAAAAAGGATTGATGGAGTTCGTATCGGATCTCTCTGACCACCAATGTGCCAGCTACTGCGAAGGTAGGGCAAATGCTTTTTCCGTGGGCGTCTACCGAGTACCGGCATCCGGACCCAAGGTTGTGCAGTTTATTTGATTCATGAATCGCTGCCACCTTGAACCAACATACTAACCCTCGTACAGATCGGTTCAGAACAAATATTTCAGAGATTCGAAGATGAATCTCATTTGATGGGAGACTCAGAATGACCAAGAAGATCAAGATCCAGCGTATAGAATGCGCATGAGATCTCCATGTTGACCTGCGCGAGTGAGTGCCGATGAGACCGTGCGTTCTCTCGTACGTCACTCCGAGGGAAGAGACTTGGGAATTTCATGCAACTTCTACTAAGGTAGGCAGGTGTAAATGACTACCTGACTGACTGCAGTCCTGCACTACATCGTACTCAAATTACCTTTTGGGGGGGGGGAGCAAGGCCAACAGCCGCCATTGTATGATAAGCGCCGAACGATGCCTCGGGGCTGTAGACGAGGTCTGGTGACCCGTTGGACTCGAAGGCTGGATTGTCAAGCTGGAGCGGACGGGGGTAGACCATAGAACAAGGCTAATCACAATGCGGAGGTGCATTGTGAAAGATGAAGAAGGTGTATAGAGCCCCATGATGAGAGATGGAAGATGGGATTGCTTCTTCTGGACGACTGCATGATGCGAGTGAGACTTTTGGTGATTATCACCGGGGCATTAAGACTGGACGGCCGCGGGTATCTGACCATTCAAAGTTCCATCGGCTCTGTCAGTCACATTGTTTAGGTTCGGTCGTGTTCCGCCTCGATGCTCGAACGGGCGATTTCGTCAAGTCGGGAAAGTTGGAGCTGATGCATATCAGACTTTTGGAAGTTCAGGCGCTTGGTTTGTGGACGATCTTGATGCACCCGTGTTGACCTCACCTGATTGAATGTGCCACTTGGCTGAATTATTTCCATCTCACATACGTAGCCAACCTCACGAGCGTAGTTGGTCCCTGCTTCAAAGCTTGAAAGCACACTCGTACAGTGGCCACTGGCCACTGGCCGGTCCTGGCTTTTCGCCCAGTACTGAGTCTACTGACTCTACTGAGTATCCTTCCAATCCCCAATACCCATCTGCAACGCCCCTGGACAGTGGACACTACTACACTGACACACCTGCCTATAGCCGATTGCATTCACGATCCCAATTGGCATCCGGGCCCTGGTATCAGATTTGATGCAAATGGCCACACTCCAGTAGGCTCGTAGACTCGCTGCTCGGTCGGCTTGGACTTTGGTCCGCATCTGCGTCTGCGTCTGCATCTGCGTCTTGCGCCCGTGCCCGTGCCCGTGCCCTTCTCTGCACCAGCACGGCACTCGAGCCCTTCTGTACCTTAGTAGTGGTAGCCTGGTAATACTGCGGTTTGAAGAAAGGATGAATAACTATCATGATTCTCGTCTCATCCCGGGGAGTCGTGGACTGTTTCGGTCTGGTGCAGTCTGTGAGGGCGCCTGCTCTTGGTTCGGGTCTCGTTCGCTTCGGTAGACCCTGAGCTGGAGAAGACCTGACAGGTATGTGGACTGCGGACTGCGGACTGCGGACTGCGGACTGCATCTGGATAGGAAGTTGGAAAGCCAAGTCTGACCCCCCCCCGGGTTGATTCAAGGCTTCCTCCGACTCAGTCAACTGACCACGGCCTACTTTACTATGACTGGATACCTTTACTGTAGGTGACAGTAGGTGTTCCCGCTTGGTAGTTACGTTATTATCACAAGCCACGACTAC